CCCCAAAACCCCAAAACCCCAAAACCCCAAAACCCCAGGAGTTGAATATATTTGATTTGGAAGAATGTTATTTTGATAAATAAATATGACACACAGTGCTCATAACTAAGTTATTATCTTCTAGTATAGGACTGCATCTTTTTGGAGCATCATATTCATTCTCAATTTTATAAAGTAGTATTCACAATCTGGTTAATTAGTAAAATATATTTAGCAGGCTTGCTAAGAATATATACTATCTTCGTCTCATTCACTATTGCTGGGTGTAATTTTGATATCATTCAAATTAATTCTTCGGTCCTATAGACATTCCAAATCGTAACCTATTAAGTAAAAGATTATAAGTTTATATTCTTACTTTTTTCATTAGCAAGATGCAGCAGGCATAAGAAGCTAGTCTAGACATTAACTGTAGCCTCATCTTACTCCTCTATAAAGTTCTAGGTCTTCAAGCATATATCACTGAAAACCAAGTCATCTATATTGTTACTTCTATTTTCCTAGCCAATATAGTTATTCATTGTCTCTTTTATACGTCTTATATTCAGAATATTGGTCTTAAATCGGCGTTGCCTTCTCCTTGATGATTATTAATTAACTCCTGGATCTTGATCAAGTTCTTGTTTAATCTAGTCATTTGGGGATCTCTAAACATTACCCTAATCTTTAAAAAGAGCCATCAATTCATTATCTGATTCATTGCCATTTTCCTCTGGGTTTTCTTATTAGAATTATTATCTTTCATTCTTACTCTCTTAACTCCCATTTAAATGCTAATCACTTTTTTGTTCTTCTTAGTAGTATTAATCGTTATTAGCTTCATCATTCATGTAATTATCATTATCTAGATCATTATCAACTATTAAATCGACTTAATCTTGATCTTACTCATCTTCATAATCCTCTTCATCATCATAATCATCCTTCAGGAATGCTTTTATTTTTCTCTCTTTTCTCTAATCAAAATTAGAACTCAGAAGCTCTAAGTATTCATTGTATTCCCTACTCATAGTTACAGTTGTTTATGGCTTAGTTATCAGATACTGCTTCCTCTGAATAAATCTGTGATGACAGAGGAAATCTGTGTTACTATAAGTATCATTAATGATTGGGTCATCGTTCAAACCTTTTGGCATATAAGCATCATTTCTGCTCATATTAACTAGAGCCGTTATCTGTTGTCTCAGACGAGGATCCCTCCTGTTTGGTATATCTTCAAATATATCCAAAAGCCTTTTAGTATCAGCATTTCTAATTCTTCTGTTGTCATTATCTCTTCTCTTCTTAGTGTCATTTTGTTGATTTTAAGGAAATAAGTTAATTTCATCCTTTTTCTTAGAAGTCTATCGCCCACTTTTCCTTAGGAACAATTTATCAGCAAAACTTTCTGGGACTTCATCAGCCTAAAAGTCATCTTGATGAAGAAGCAATTCGCTTGGTTAGAACTAAGCAAAGTCCATGTCAAAATTTCCATCATCAATTTAATCAGGCATATTGCTATTATTGAGCTTCATATTTTGAAGATTATCCCTAGCTGAATTATTTTACCTTGCAGCTTTTGCTCTTACTTACTAGTTTAAACTTCTTAAAGGCTTAAACTAGGAGGCTAGCATATGGACATATTTGCATATTCTGCTGTTTTCTGATTAATAATTAAGTCTTACTTGCTTATTAATTTCATCTTTCAAATCAAGTATAAAATCTCTGAGGCCCATCGACATCTCTTACTCTTTGAAAGCTTCCTTAAATGAATCTTTGGCAGCATTCACTAATCGTCTATGGTATATGTTCTGGTTCATTTATCTCTAATTTTAATCAAGAGGTGCCTAGGCATCAAGTGACACCATAACTTCTCTATTAATATGAAGATTATTCAAAAGTAAGCCTGATGCATTTGCCTCATCAAACATCTAACTAGTCTTTTTAAAGAATGGATCTATATATGTTTCGAAGTTTATCTAAAATGGAATCTGAGATTGTTCTTTCTTTATGAGTGCACCTGAATCCAAATTTTTGTTATATTTCTAAGAATGAATAAAAAGCCAACAAAATCCTCCTTACCTCGAAATTAATCTTGTCAATGTCCACTATAGCATTCATATTCATCATCTCATCATTTATTCTATCTCTGTCATTCCTACTCTTTCTCTCCTCCCTTGCATTCTCGTCATTCTGTTTTTCTACCTCAAAGTTAGCATGCCTTTTCAGGTTCTTAGTTAGTTTAATTATATGCTCAACTTGCTGCCTAATATATAAAGTTTACACATATGGGAATTAAGAGAAGAGAGTTAATAGCATACTCATAAATTTTAGAAAAGGTTTAAGTACTCAGAGCAATAATAGACCATCTGTTATCCATGTCGATCTCCTCTGCATCAGCTTCTCCATTTAGATCATTACTTATCTTGAAGTTTCTGTATCTATCTCTTTGTCTAGCTGACATATCTTGATCTTAGTCTCAATAAAAGGCTGGAAGCAGTGAAAGGAAAGTCATATCGATTTCATAAGCGTTCTCAATTTTTATTTTCTAAAATTAAAAGGGGAATTTTAGGAATTTGATTATAATTGAAGGTGAGTGAGGAAGTTACCTTATCCTACATTAAATAAACTGGACCCATTATGCGCTCCAGCATATCGATTTCATTCCGCTACTAATTTGCCTAAGTAGAAATCATACTTTTTTAATGCGCAATATTTAATTTATAATTATTAATAAGTTAAGTGAATAAAATTGAAAATCATCTAAACGTCTCAGACTATGCTAATTAGATAATTAAAATTATTAGACTTAAAAATTAAACTATTCCGATTAATAATTATCACTTTTGATTTATGTTGTTTGATAGTTAGTTAGTTTGTCTTATGTTCAAACATCCTTGAATGCGGTATTATCAAGTAGTAAAGATAATAGTGAGGCTATCAGAATACCTATGTCATTGCAAACTGTAGTCAAAGTCAGTGCCAACTCTTTTTCATTTCTCTAAAGGTTCGGAGACTCCAGGATCTAATACATAACATTGACATAGGAGGCACCTCCCATTAGTCCTACCCAGACCATTATTACAAACATTGCATAGAAATTGTCAAGAAACAGGAATATTGTGTTGAATAGCCAAAAGACAAAGTTAATTAACTAAAGAGTGGTCATAATTTCAACTCTGGGCACCTTAATCACAGAAAGACTGCTTCTAGAGATAAACACACCAATTTGATAACAAAATGATAGAATGATGTATCCATTTTAGAAGACATATTCGTCCGCTCTGTCAGGATATTTGGTTTTTAACTTATGTGTGATTCTGTCAGAGAAGCAAGTAATACACATATACTCCAAAAAGTATACTGACATTAGGTTTATCTGGAAGAATCCCACCTTGAAAAAGATCTTTTTTAGCTCTTCCCAATTTAATGTTTGATTGTTATGAGCTTCATCTAGCTTTGGGGTTCTTACCCTATCTAATGTCATCGTCTCTGATGGTGCTCCATTAACTAGATTATAATTATTATTTCTCTCATCGGTCTCCATGTCCTCACTTAAGACCGATTATGAAATGATGTTCTTGTCTTCTGGAATGTACTGGTGCTATTCTTTCATTCTATAGATCCACCAAAATGCCAGGAAGTAAGGAATGACTGTAGGTGTGATTATAAAGAATATCTGCCCATTGTTTAAGCCAGCACCCTTAAGAATTAAAATTATTCCTGAGCCGAACACACCTGCAAATCCGGTACCTGAACCGAAATACCCCACTACTGAACTAGGGAATCCTTTACAAAATCCTAATGTAGTGCTTTCTCCTAGAGCACTACCAACTCCAAGAATAATTGATGATAAAAGTGACATCCAGAAGGATACTTCATACTCGTGGAAAGTACAAGCAAATGAGATGATTAGAAAACCAATGCATATGTTTACGGAGTTAATGAATATTCTGACAACATGTCTTATCTTTAGCAAATACTTAGCATTTATGATCTTCGTCAAGCTGCTGAAAAGTATCAAAGACCTAAATAGAATATTTTATCAGCAAAAAGTACAATTAAAACATTGGCATGAGTGACTTCTTATTGAATTCCTCAGATAGATCAGATGCAGCTGATCCTACCATGACATACCCATTGTTGTTAAAGAGTCCGACGATAAATAAGGCGAAGAAAAAAAGAACTTGATACTTAGTTGTTTTTAACAAATCGTTCTTAAATATTAAGCATTCAAATTATTACAATAGTAGTTTTCTCTACAAGTGGCTTCTTTTCTAGACTATCTCCCATATAATATAATAGGGTTTATATAATTATTGAATATTTGTATTCCAATTCTCATTCTACATAATAATCCCTTGGGGTTTTGGGGTTTTGGGGTTTTGGGG